AATGTTGCATGTGTACTTTAAAACAATGTGTATTGCACAGTGGTTGAGTGGAGATTTCTAGCATTATAAATTAGGTTAAGTTGTTTGAGAGTATTTTCAAGTCTTTGCTGATTTTCTGTCTGCTTGTTTTATCAGTTACTGAGAGAGGATTATGGAAATTTATAACTTTAGTTATGCTTCTTTCAACTCGCTCACCTTACTAAGGGTACAAATATTTATGGTTTTTATGTTTTCTGGGTTAATTGACCCTTTCATCATTGTGAAATTGCCTTGGTTTTTCTGGTAATATTCTTTGGTCTGAAATCTATTTCTCTGATATTAATATAGACACTCCGGCTTTCTTTTATTTTCAATTACGGTATAACAATTATGCCATAATTGCATGGTATAAATTTTTCTGTTTACTTCTAGCTTATCTGAGTCTTTATATTTTAGATATGTTTTTCACAGGCAGCATATAATTGGGTCACAGGTTTTAAAAAACTTAAATCCTATTTGACAATCTTTGCCTTTTAGACCACTTACATTAATAAAATTATTGTTTAGACCATTGGCATTTAATGTAATTTCTGGTATGAATTGAAGCCTATCATGATACACTTGTATGACTGAAGCCTATCATGTTACAATTGTTTTATATTTGTCCCATCTGTTCCTTTTTTTTACTTTTTGAAATCTTGCCTTTTTGGAATTATTTTTAGTGTTACATTTTATTTCTGTATTGTATTATTAGATATACCACCTTTAAAAAATTGCTCTCGGGTTTATAATATGCACTTTTAACTTCACAATCTACCTCAAATTATACCAGTTTACATGTAATGTAAGACCTTTTTATATTTTAATTTTACCCCCATCCTTTTCGTTATTGTTACCGAACATCTTACTTCTATATATATTATTAGCCTCTATTCATTATTATTGTTTTTTGTTTTAAATAATCAACCATCTTTTAACAACGTATTAATATGAGTAAAAAAGCCTTCTGTAGTTATTCAGCATACTTACCATGTCCAACACTCTTTATGCCTTTGTGTAAATTTGAGCTACTATCTGGTATCATTTTCCTTTAGCCCGAAAAACTTCCTTTAACATTTCTTGCAGTGGAGCTCAGCTGGAAATGAATTCTCTTATTTTGTGTTTGTCTTCAAATAGTCTTTATTTCATACTCATTTTTGAAGGATATTTTCACTGGGTATACAAGTCTAGGTTGACAGTTTTTTTTCTTTCAGCTTATTAAAGATGTCGTTCCATTGTCTTCTGGCTTGCATTGTTTCTGACGAGAAATCAGCAATCATTCTTATCTTTGTTCCCCTGAAAGTAATGTGTCTTTTTTTCCCTCCTGGCTGCTTTTAAGATTTTCTCCTTATTGGTTTTCATCAATTTGTTTATAATGAACTTTGGTGTGATTTTCTTTGCTTTTGTCTTGCCTAGGATTCACTGAGCTTCTTGAATTTGTGGGTTGTTTTCATCAGACTTGAAAATTTTTAGCCATTGTCTCTTCAAATATTTCCCCCTTTTATTTCTTTTGTGCTTTAAATCTCATGGACTTGGAGCAAATACTTGAAGCAATCATAAAAATTTGGCTTTATACTAAGTAAAATGTATGTAAGGTAAAACTGCCTGAAATTTTCCCGCAGTTCACTGAATCTCTATTTTTCTTCCAGTATTTCAGTTTGGGTAGTTTTGCTATGTCTCCTAATTCACTGATCTTTTCTTCTGCATTGTCTATTCTTCTATTAAGCCCATTTGGTGAGTTTTTCAAGTTGTATTTCTGATTTTTAAAGTCACATTTAATTTTTAAATTATATCTCCCATCTCTATCCTCATTATGCCTATCTTCATGCTTTCCTTTGCCTATGTTTATGATAACTATTTTAAAGTTCTTCTTTGCCAAATACTTCATCTCCGCAATTTCCAGGTTTATTTCTGCTGATCTGTTTTCCCCCTGGTTATGAGTGACATTTTGCCTCCTTTTCAAATATCAAATAATTTTGACTGGATGCTGGATTTCATGATTGTTGCATTATTGAGTGTCTGAATTTTGTTGTCTTCCATTATAGTATGTTGAAGTTTGTTTTGGCAATCAAGTTACTTGTGGATTAGTCTGACCATTTCAAGGGTTATTCTTAGGTTTTGTTAGAGTGAGCCCAGAATAACTTTTTCTCTAATATTAGTTTAGCCCTATTACGAAGATACGGCCCTCCTAAAGTTTCTATGATTGCTCCAAGTATTTAGTGATTTCCCTCTACTCTGACTGGTTGGACCTTGAACATCTTCCAGCCCTGTACAAGCTCTAGGAATTGTTTAGCTCACAGAACCCTCACAGTTTTTCTCTATCCAGCCTCAGGGAGTTTTACCTTACATACATTTTACTTAGTGTAAAGCCAGAGATTCAAAAGGACTCCTATTTAGATTTCTGGATCTCTTTCTTTGCATAGTTCCCTCTTCCTTCCTACTCTATTCAGCAAATTTCAGCCACCTGGCCTCTCTAAACTCCAGTTTTTGTCCCCTTAACTAAAAAAGACCTTATTACTCTGCTTATCTTTCCCCTTCTAGGGCCAAGGTCTGGAAATTACTATCAGGAAGAAAGCCAGGGTGATTGTGGGGCTTACTGCATTCTCTTCTCTCAAGGATCACTGTCCTGCACTACTTGGAGTCCAGTTTCTGAAAATAGTGTTTCAAATATGTATTTTTTAGTTTTCTAGTTGTTCATGGTGGGAAGGCAGATCTAATGCCAATTTTTGTATCATAGTTGAAAGGATAATTCTTGTCTGCTGTGTTTTTATGCTATGTTTTTTGTTATTATTTTTGAATGGTGATCTATTATGACTATATTTCCCACAAGATAAGGTATGCTGATTGTCCTTATATCAAAATCAATTGTAGTGCTTTCCCCAGTTAGAAATACCTGTGTTCTATCCTCAAACATGTTGATTCAGAATATCTAACGTGGGTTCCAGACATTATATTTTTAAAATCTTGACAGCTGATTTTTGATACATAGCAAAACTTAAGATCACTGTTCTAGTAAGCTTAAATCCAATGTGGCTTTTATGAACTTAAATTGATTATCCTACAACCTGTTCTTAACACAGCAACACTCAGTAAAAATGGAATGCAAAATTAAAGCAGATCTCCTCCTGGATATCTCCATTATCCACAAAAAAGCATTTATTTCTGGCAGAATAGAAGTCTTTAGAGCCCTAAGTACTGTGGCTGGTGCACACTTCAATTTGTTTTGCCTGTGCCATAGCAGTTGTTATATGTTTTGAATATTAATTCTGTCCATAAGTGTCATGAACTTCTGTAAAGCAATCTGCAAACATTCTCATAATACACTGATTTGGAGATGGTTAGCAGATTTTATCTTGTGTGCCAATTTTGTTTTGATTGGTGGTGACTTGTTGGAGCACAGTGATAAGAAGGATCCTAAGGCCAGTTCTGGACTCAGCAGGAAGGAATGCTGTAATGGATTAGTGATGTCTGTCATGAGTTTGGGATCAGAATAATGCAGCACATGTTCCATATTTTTGCAATTCATGTACTGGTTAAAGGCAGCCTTTTCTTCTATGTTTCTCTAATTGTACAAGAAAACTTGCTGCAACTCTTTATATTCAACTTGACTTTACCATATATGGGAAACTAATCTCATAGTTATGAAGCGCCTATACCCAAATTATTTCTTCATCAATCTGTTCATGTACTCATTAATTTCTTCTTTGTTACTCTCTAAAAATATGATCAAAATGATACTATCTTATTATAGTAGTGGTCTCTGGTCTGTATTTCTTGTCTTCTTTTCAAATAAATAGACCTGTTGTATATTTTAAAATGTCATTGGTTCTGGTAACTATATTTCCCTGAATCCTCGACTAGACACATAATCTTATACATGGCCTAACAATGATATAGAAAGTTTGAAGCTAGGATGCTCCTAGGTAGAAAATTTTCTAAAATGTTTGGAACATAAATTCGCTTGGATCATTAATAATATACATTTTTGAATTATAATTGAATATGCAACTAAGACTATCTTCTCATCTGCAAATTCCCACATATTAAGATTAGGCCAACATAGTCCTATGAGTTTAAAATATGGCACTTTAGAAAAATGTCCTACTTTCAAGCATATAAACCCCTTACATGTTTTTAATGATGGAATATTGTTAGCTAAGTGTTTTGGGCTACAGAATCATCCAGATGATAACTACTGGTTGTGATTCTCAATCTGACTTATTACAGGTAACTTGGTTCTTTTCCTCATTCTGTGTGTCTACTGAGCTTAGGAGCTGGGTATTAGCAGACTAGCAGAAGTTTAATTGGGTATTAGCAGACTAGCAGAAGTTTAGTAGGTGGACCACGTGTAAGAGAGAGATGTATTTCATTTGGGCAAGAAACTCATCTTTCCAGTCTCCATGTTTCATGGGAATGGCATAGGAAATGGAATGGTAGAGGATGCCTTACTATTCATGTCAGTTGTTATCAATTTAAAATGCTTCCTGGTGCCAACAATCTAGGATGTTTAGCATAATATACTCTCATGGAAAGAGCAGAATGTCAAGCACCAAGAGATATAGGTTCTAGTCCTAGCTTATCATTCACTAACTCTGTGACCATATCAAACTACTTAACCTTGCTAACTTTAATTTATTCTTATATGAAATGAGATTAATAATCTGCTGTACTTACCCTACAGAGTTGTTGGAGGATCAAGTGAAACTATGGTTGTAAAAACCTTTGAAAACTTATTAATGGAATACCATTGTGGTACTGTACATGCCATCTTATATTGGCTTATCTCTTATCCTAGGAAAATGGATGGAATTGTGTATCTTTGCTTGTCTTTTAAATTTTTTACAGATTAAAAAGGTGATTCTGCTAGGAAGCTTTCTGATGATGGTTCTATTTAGAAAAAAGAAAATAGTAAAGTATCTGTTTTTACTAGGGCATGAATAATTTCACTGAGAAGTATTCATCAGTTGTGCTTTACTTTACAGCTTGGAATCCCATCCACTGCCAGCACATTGAATGCCACAATGCAATTAACAAACCAGCTGTGAAGGTACTGTTTTATTAGACCTGGTGCCATACTGTATTGTCAGTGGTCAAATTGCTGAATGAAGTGGACTAGATTGCATCCTTCTCTGTAAAGCAGAGGCGTGTGCTGTGTAGTAATTCCAAGTACCTCCATATTCAATCTGATTGTACTTTGGCAGACTGGTCAAGAGAGAGCAATGAATGGCGTTGTCTGCAGTTTTGGCTATGCGTTCATAGCCAAGTGCTATGTAGCACTGAGCTAATTATCTATCAGAAGGATCCTAGTAAAATGCTTACATGTCCTTAACTGGTTTCTATTTCAGCTAATGAACTCAGGGAAATGTATTTTCTCTCTGTTTTCATGTGTATGCTACAAATCATGCGTGCTTATGCAAATTCAGGAGTAGTAGGACAAAAAGATAAAATCATTCAGTTTTAGCTTATATTACAAATATAACTTAACTGAAATGACTGAAAGGTGTCTGGACAGCATAGACATGGAAAGTTACATTAAAAGTAGGGAAACAGTGGCTTACAGAGTCAAGTCATTTTCCTAAGGTTGCCAGTTAGCATCAGAACTGGAGACAGGACCAGGTACCTGATCTCCTAACCTTATTGTCCTACTGCCACACCAAATTGGTTCTGTCCTATTATAACCCTGAATCTTGAAAGTTGAATGTGAAGACAAATAGTCATACCTTTTAACAAAATTATTTATGATATATTTATTGGATACAAAGTATTTGGCTGGATGGACCTGTGTCTGGATTTGCAAGGTATAATTTTTATATTATTAGGGGTAGGAGTAACCTAAAGTTATCAGAGTTCACAGTTACTTTGGAGAACCAGGTGTCTTGCGGGTTTGCTTCTTTTGTTTTATAGATAGCCTGTAGAAAACCATATACTAATAGAAAACTAACGCCATCACTTTATAGAAACAAAGTAGGAAAGGTGAAATGAGATCCAATAAAAATAAAAGAAACCAAAAATGTGTTTCATGAACCAAAACTGGCAGAGGAGTGCCAATAATAACATTGTCATCTAGATACATTATACTAACAAAGGATGGCCTTGTATTATTATTTTTAATCTCTGCTTTTGTTGAAGGCAAATTGAATGGATTGATATTAAGAGCAGGTAATTGGCTGGGTGTGGTGGCTCAAGCCTGTAATCCTAGCACTTTCGGAGGCCAGGGCGGGCAGATTGCCTGAGGTCAGGAGTTCAAGCCCAGTCTAGCCAACATGGGGAAATCCCGTCTCTACTAAAAGTACAATAAAAAGTAGCCAGGTGTGGTGGTGGTGTGTGCCTGTAATCTCAGCTACTTGGGAGGCTGAGGGAGAGGAATTGCTTAAACCGGGGAGGTGGAGGTTGCAGTGAGCCATGATCACGTCACTGTACTCCAGCCTGGGCAACAGAGTGAGACTCTGTCACACACCCCCCCAAAAAAGAAGCAGGTAATGATAACCCACACAACGGAAGTGTAGGCGCCTCCCATTCTATGGTATGTACCCCACTGTTGACCTTCAATAGACATTTGGGGTTCAGAGGTACTCTTCTTTGGAGGATATTTTGAACTACTCACATGTGAATTCATAGTTTATTCATAGAGTTCAGCTCGATTTTTCACAATGATGAGACTTTCATGTTTCCTTCTTCTTATCCTTCTCTTCTTCCTCCTGCCTAAGTTATATAGCTCCTTCTTTTGGGTCACCCAGACATCAACAGGAAGGGGATCCTTTCTGTCTCGTTTCTGCAGTTATTTTTCCTTGATTTTATGTCAGACTGCATTCTCAGGAGTCCTCTGATATCCTGGTTAGTAATGCTTTCTGGCCTCCTACTTACTGAAAGCATTATGAATTAGATTTTCTCCTTCTTTTCTAGGCAAACAGCCCAGTCCATTCCACTGGGTTGGCCTCACTTTTCTCCCTGAAGCGAGTCAGCCAGGATAGGTCAAACCATCCACTTTCTGTCATTTTATAAAAATAGAGGCGAAATTCACATAATATACAATGAACTATTTTAAAGTGAATAATTCAGTGGCATTTAGTGTATTTACAATGTTTGCCAACACCACCTCTTTCTAGTTCCAAGACATTTTTGTATCCCCCCAGTCTTACTTTCTGAACTCCAGTTTCCTTAAAGACCCTCCTTTTCTATTTTCATTCTACACTTTGCAGAAAGATAGCATTCTTGTTAAGTCTTCCTGTGCTGGGGCCATTTTTGCACTACAATAGGTCTGGCTCAGTATTGCTCTTCCTTTACAACGTGAGTACACCCAATCTACATCATCACCACATGACATGCAAATCAAGGGTATCCAACATCCAAATGCTTACAAAATAATGTTAAGCATAAAGTTAGGAAATTTTATAGTATGATGTTTAAAAGTTTAAAAAAGTTTAAAAGTTACATATATTCATAGTGAAAAACAGTCAGTAATACTTATCAGAATGTTACTATGGATTGCATCAAGATGGAGGGTTAATGTGTTAACTGAATTTTCTTGTTTCCCTTTCTCGGTTTTCCAAAGCCTCTACATTGGGCATATGTCATTTTTATAAACAAAAAACCCCCCAGTTATTAATGTGACACACAGATATGAACACATTAGTGTGGATGTAAACCAACCTGTTCAGAGTAGAACAAAACTCACTAGACCAACTACAGATCTGATGGGTCATGTTAAGTAAGTTATTTAGGAAATCAGAGGTTGACTAGCTAATCTCTAATGATTATTTACAGTTTTAGCATCCCAGGAGTTTCTCCTTTTGAGTGGAATGAAAAAGTATCTTTACCTGGGAGAGGTATCAATGACTCACTAAAAAAGAGGGTAGAATAACTTATATAATACTTAAGAGGAGCTCCACATGGAGGGCATGGGAAAGATTTGGGGAAAATTGATTAATCCTCACTAAAAGCCTAATATCTCTGTGATAGTAAGCTGTAATGCTAAGCAAGAATGATTTACCAAATAGAAAAGTATTATCTTTGTAATAGGCCGCAAAAATTACTTTTTAGGCAAAAGTCAAGAGTTGTAATAGAATTAAATATGAAAATATGTTGGAACTTAAAGTTTATATCATACTCTGCTTTTGGTTTTACTTGGTTCTACTTGAAGTCCACTTTATGAAATACTCTGGAGCCCAGATAATTATCTAAGGCAGGTTCTGGCAAACGATGGCTCAGACCTAAATCTGGCCTGCTGCTAGTTTTTGTAAATAAAGTTTTGTTAGAACACAGCTATGTTAATTTTCTTACATATTGTCTATGGCTGCTTTCATGCTCCAACAGCAGAATTGAGTAGTTGTGACAGAGACTGTGGCCCACAAAGCCTAAAATATTTACAAAAAAAGTTTGCCAATCTCTGATTTAACACACCCCCAAGTAGTTACTCATTATATCTAAAGAAGCATGAAACTTATATGAGGAAAATTCTCACTCTGAGCCTTTGTCATCAATATATAGTATACAAATGTTGATGGTAAATTGAGCAATTCTAACTAGATTCCTCAATCATTGAAATGTCTGAGTTTTCACTTTGAATTACAGACTGTTTGGGTTATAAGCTTGGATGATTTCCCCCCTTCAAATTTGTGAGAACAACTAAGAAAAGAGTGTAGTTCCAGAAAAATTTGTGTATTAGGCATCTTAACTGCTGAATCAGCTAGCTCATGAGTTGATTATTTTTTCGAGGGTAGGAACAGAATTCAAAAATGGCTTTGGTAAATTATAGAAATTTAAACTCATGCAAAGTACAAAATGCAGTTAGTTATCTAGATTTTTTGTTCATTTGACTTAAAAGATCCAGATATTGAAATATTCTGATGATCAACTGTGAAATTAACACTTTGCATCTCTGTGCTTAGGCTAGTGAAACCCAGCCGTATCAACCAGTCCCAGCAAGGGCATACAAATTATAGGTCACGTGTAGGAAATAAAAAACCACACTTGAAAAAGAAAAGTTGAATGATTGATACAGAACTAAGATTCCAGAGTAAGAGAAGTGAACCACTCAATGTTAGATTTAATGCCACCTTTTTTGAATGAGGTATACCTTAAGAAGCAAAATTCTCTACCACTAGCATTTTAGTATCAGTTATGATTCTGAAATCTTAATAATATATTTTCCTTTTCCTAATGAGAGACTACTGTTGTTTACCACTTTACAGAAGGAATTAGAGTGAGTAATATACTGCCAATTTGAGCAGCAATTGAACAAGATGATTATTTTGGTTCTTTGTGGAATGAGAGTGAATTTCTCGACACTATTTATTACTTGAATTGCAAGTAACAGGAGAAATGAAAAACCACAGCAGCCACATTTAAATCCTCAGGGTGGACTCATCAGCTAGTGCAGGGAGAAACATTTATTGGTAAAAAGGGTTTTACTAAAAATATTTATTCCACCTTGCTTTTGGAAAATCTGTCATTACTGAAGCATTTGTGTTAAGAATCTAGGGAATGTGATACCCAGGAACGGGAGAGTTCATTCTGTCTTTTTATGTGTTTCAGATGTGTATAGACCCTTCCCTGTCAGTAGCATTGGGTGATAAACCACCGCCGTTGTATCTCTGTGAAGAATGCAGCGAGAGGATTGCAGGGTAGGTATAAGAGTTCTTAAAGAAAAAGAAATAGAGCAATAATGAGAAGATAAAAATCATTTGGACTTAAATTAGTTACATTACTAAAGTTTCTCACTAGCCTCTCTGATTTTTAAAGGTTAATTATTCTGATATTTAACATATAGCAAACTTTCATTGGGAACATTACAGCTTTGAAAAGTTGCAATATTTCTCTCTGTGTGACATGAGAAGAAGGCAATTCCACTTAATAAATCAGCTGCAATTTTGGAGTAACCCTGTTAAAAAGGCCACAGAGAAAAACAGATGTAAAAGAAAACTGTGGTTTCCAAACATGACATATAAATTATATGGATTCTTTTTGCTTGTTTGTTTCACAGAATCACACTCAGCTTTGTACAGATCATGCAGTATTTTGGTTGGCTTAATTAGCATCTGGAAAGTATCATTTAAAGATAACTGAATATGATGAAGTGCCTATAATTTATAATTTAGCTGGAATGCATTAGACATTTTAAGAGTTTATTATGATGGTGCTCTTAATTATACTTCCTTTCTATTAAAAGCCTTTCAGCAATAGTGTGCAGCTTATAAACATTCATGTGGAAGGAGAATATTTCAATGAAGCTCAAAAATGAATTTTGTTTTTTTTCAATAGGGACCACAGTGAGTGGCTGATTGATGTTCTTCTGCCGCAAGGTACGGTTTACTTAGGAAAGGATGAATAATGAGTAATCATGACTAATGACATAGTTGCTTTATCTCCTTTTGTACTATTTTATTTTACAAAGACAGTCGCCAAAGTATTGTATTCTATGAATATTCATTGATATGAGGCATAATATCAATGCCTTGCTTATAATGTACTCACACATTTAATAATGAGGGAAGTAGTATCATCCCTACCAGAATTAAGGGTAGATATTGGAATTAGAATTCCGTAAGACTAAAGCCCTGCCAAATTATGTCTTCAGGGATTTTCTGTATCTGTAACAGGTGTTGTCAGTAATAAGCTGCTGCGCCGGGTCTGATTAAGGAGAAGAAAAAGAATAAGGAACACCACCTGGGAGAGAGATGAATCATTGGCCTTTTCCCTGCTACTATTACTAGTACTGTGTCGTCGGGGAGAAATCATTGAATTTCTCTGAGACTCAGTTTCCTCATCAGTAAAATGGGGATAAAGTATATCTAACCCATCTCAATGGAAAGACAAGATTTTAAGGCTTCTTGTAGTTTGTTGGAGTGCTCAAAGCTATGCCCTATAAGTTGGTAGGTCCCAGACAGAGCATTTCTCCACATATGGGAGAAGCAGCTCTTCCAGCCATGTCACTGGAGGCTAACATGACAAGGAAAAGTACTGACAAACACAGAGGAAAGATGAAAGGTGGAAAATTGCTACGGGCATACTAAGTTTAAGTAGAGATGGGGCACAGGAAGAACTCGATGGTATATGACTTCAGATGTAGAAAATAAATGGATTCCCATCCTGGCTAACACGGTGAAACCCCGTCTCTACTAAAAATATGAAAAATTAGCCAGGCATGGTGGCACCTGCCTGTAATCCCAGCTACTCAGGAGACTGAGGCAGGAGAATCACTTGAACCTGGGAGGCAGAGGTTGCAGTGAGCCGAGATTGCACCACTGCACTCCAGCCTGGGCAACAGAGTGAGACTCCGTCTCAAAAAAAAAAAAAAGAAGGAACCATGAAAGTCTCATCATTGTGAAAAATCAAGCTGCACTCCTTGAATAAACAATGAATTCACATGTGAGTAGCTCAAAATATCCTCACTCCATTGGATTCTTGGGGGAAAAAAAAAAAGAAAAGAAAAGGATTCATGTGAAAGGCTCATTTGAAAGGAAAACCTTACACAAACTAAATTCTAAGAACTTTTTTTTTAAATTGAAGGCCTTTGCTTGATAATTACACTTTTCATAGTCTTACTTTTCATATTAGATTATTTATATTAGATTCTCAACCTTAAGGGAGAAATTAATTTAGTGCTCCCCTCTGTAAAATGGAGCAATAACGTCAGCCTCTATATTCTTCAAAGGTACATTTTGAAAATTTACATAAAAATGTCTGTAGGTCAGGCGCAGTGGCTCATGCCTGTAATCCCAGTACTTTGGGAAGTGGAGGCAGCCTGATGGCTTGAGCCTAGGAGTTTGAGACTGGCCTGGAAAACATGGTGAAACTGTCTCTACTAAAAATACAAACAAACATACAAAAAATTTAGGAGGGCGAGAGGGAAAAAACAATTTAGCGAGGCATGGTGGCATGTGCCTTTAGTCCCAGCTACTTGAGAGGCTGATGTGGGAGGATCATTTGAGCCCAGGAAGTTGAGGCTGCAGTGAGCCGTGATCATGCCACTGCACTCCAGCCTGGGCGACAGAGAAAGACCTTGTCTTAAAAAAAAAACAAACCCACCACCACCAAAAAAACCTGTAAAAAGATTTGGGCTTATATGGGTAAATGTAACTTTTTTTCCTTTAAATTAGGCTTCTTAATTAGTGATCATCCACTGCTCTGAGGTAAAAGCCATAGTCAAGTTATAAAATACAAGTTATAAAATCCTTTTTAAATATGTCGCTGAGCAGTGATATTCATCTTTAGAGGAAAATTGGCAATAACTTTTCATTATTTACCTAGACATGTGACTCTAACCTCAGATGCTTCAAGATAAACTCTGGGATATCAAACTGTCAAATAACCATTAATTTTACAAAACCAGTTTTTAAAAGTGAGTTGTAAATTTTATTGCTTTTTCATCCACTAGTTTAAGATTACCAGACAGGGTTTGGGAGACATTTGCCTTTGATCTTTTAAATAAATTGTAACATAGACTATACTATAAATAAGGTGTTAGTTCATTTTTTGAGTACATACTATTTCAGAGAACATATTAACCGATTCTTGGAAGATTTATTTTCAAATGATCTCCAGCATCAGTTTTCATGGAAATAATTGATGTGCCCACTAAAAAGAATTCTTATCCATTTATTAAAGTGAATCCCATATGTAGACAGTAGTTTGACAGTCTTGCTCCAACTGGTCTCCCCGTGGGATTGAAAATTGCTTTCTCTTAACCCTACAGCTGGTTTTACACACGCATGTTAAGAATGATATAAATTGATAATTTAAATCTAAGTAGTCCAAGTTAGTAATTTTTTCTACCGTTTTGATATTGCAAATAATCCCATGGTGATGCTGTAAATATATCACATCAACCCAGTGTCATAGTGTAATGGAAAGAACAATAAATGGGGAATTTGGAGACTTTAACTCAAGGGCTGCCCCTAGCGTTGATAGCTTGTGTGACCTTGAAGAATTTAACCACAGTGGTTCTCAGTTTTGTCCTCTGTAAAATGGGGAAATAAGATTAAAGTTGTTTGGCTTTAACAAGATTTGATTTCCAAGTCATATCTGAAAAGATTAAATTACTTGTAAGAGTAGCAGCATGCAGGTGTTCTTAACCTCACTAAACACACACCGCTAGATGAAAAGAAATCTATTTCATGCTTTCTGAGGAAACTAGAAGCTAATAAAAGTAGATGATAATTTATGAAACACACGAAAAGCTGTTTGGGCCAAGTCCAGAGGTCGTGTTACTAAGATTTAAAAAATTCCCCCTCCATGGCCGCCCTTATTTAAAATGGGCTCTAGACCTAGCATGGTGGCTCATGCCTGTAATCCTAGCCTTTTGGGAAGGAGGTCAAGGCAGGAGGGTCGCTTGTGGCCAGGAGTTCAAGAACAGACTGAGAAACATAGTAAGACCCCATGTCTAAAGAAAAAAAAAAAAATCAGCTAGACATGGAGGGCCACCCCTGTTGTCCTAGCTGCTTAGAAGGCTGAGTCAGGAGGATCACTTGAGCCAAAGAGTTCAAAAGGCTGTGGTGAACTATTATGGGGCCATTGCACTCCAGCCTGAGTGACAGAGTGAGACCCTGTCTCAAAAAATAAATAAGTTAATTAAATAAAAACTAGAGGGGCTCTCTTTCTTTGTTGATATTTTGTGTGCCTTCCCCTTACAGCTGAAATATCTGCTATATGTCAGAAAAAGGTAAGAGCAAACCATTTGTGTTGTTGGGGCATGATTTATTGTGTTTGTATGTAAATTCATTTATTGACCTCTGCCTTATTTCTGCACCATGGTTTCCAGTCTGTGTATGCCATTGTATTTGTGGAGGGGGAAAGGAAATAATTTAGCATGCAAGATTGCCACATCCAAATGGTCTCTATTTCCATTTCTGCTTTTGCTCACCCATCTTATGCACAATGTTTTTGTTCAGTAATTTGCAATAAAAGCCTATGTATAATTCTGGGATAGGAGTCTAATTAGAAAAAGGTTTGAATTATACTGCAATTTACGGTACTTAACTTTAGTTAAGGATATATCTTGTATGCTAGAAATCTCGATTGTTTTGAAGTGGAGTGCAAATAGTCCAATTTGTATGTGTGAAAAACATACCCAGACTGACTGTATATGGACAGTATTTATTTATGTGTAAGTTGAACAATATATGTAGCTAAAGATTCTTCCTTTAATATTTCCTTTAGTTTTTTTAATAATAGTTTCTCTAAACCATCTCCATCTTCTCTTCTTGTTTTAATAATCGAAAAGCGTGAGAGGAGGCAGTATGATGTCATAAAAAAGAACTTTTGACTAGTTGGTTGAGATTCTTGGACTCTGGCTGGTTCTGTTCCCTCCTACCTATGTGGACCTTGCACATGTCATTTAAACTTTTTGGGATGTTGTGAGTAGGTATATTGGAGGGCTGTCTCTGTTATCTATGGATGCATAGCAAATCATCTGAAAACACAGTGTCTCATATGGCAACCAGTTATTTAATCACAGTTCTGTGGATTGGCAATTTGTCCTATGCTCAGCTCAGCTAAGCAGTTCTTTTGATAAATTACTATAGGCTCACTCATGTATTTGCAGTCAGTTGGTGGCTAAGCTGGGATTGGCTGGCCCCAGATGGTCTCACTCCCATATCTGGGGCTCAGCTGGGATGGCTGGAATGGTGAGATGGGTGGGGTGTCTGGGTCTCTCTCTTTCCACATGATGTCTCATCGTCCAGGGGCTAGGCTGGACTTGTTCACAGGTGGCAGTCTTCTGAGAGAGTGAGAGAGTCTTACTCACTCAAGGCCTCTCAGAAGTCACACAGCATCATTTCTGTAGCATTCAACAGGTCAAAGCAAGTTCCAAGGCAGCCCAGATTCAAAGAGTGGAGAAATAGGATCGTTGTGGTTATTGAAGGAGTGGCAAGAATTTTGTGATCACATTTAATCTACCACAATCTGTCCTTTGGACATAATTATTTACCTTCTATCCATATGCAAAATATGCTCACCATTTTATATGACCTTCACAAGTCTTATTCATTTATGGCTTCAGACTTAAAGTCTAGTATCTTGTGATCTACATGTGATATGTCGCTGATTAAACTTCTTGGTAACTGATTCTCTTGATTCAGAGTCCTGTGAACTAAGAAGGAAAGTTATCTTCCCTCTCTGCACCCAAGGCACAATGTTGAGACAGGGACAGGATCACAGCAATAGACTTCTGTTCAGAAAGAGGAAGGGTAAGCAGATAGCAGTCATTGGTCTGTAGCAGCTCCAGCCACAAATACATCAACAGTTCCTCTGTCTCCAGGAATAGCATACTTGTCTTGATTACAATCTGGTTTTGTTTCCTAGAAGTAGTTCCCTAATCTGTTATTGTCCTCCTGAGCTCTTGGCTCCACTCTCTGAGGCATCTTTTCTTTTCAATAAGTAATGGTCCATGTTGCAGCTGAGTAACTTTCTCAATCTGCTTCCTGCATGTAGGAGTTAGGGTCCCATAGACCTCTTTTCATTTAGAACTGTGTCTGTTTAGTTTTAGCTGGTGGTGCTTTTGCTAGTATGACTTTCTTAAAAACTTTGTGGATTTTCAGTGAATCTCAGTGGGGTCCTGTGCCCCCGAAAGCCACATCTTTAATTATTTTTGAGGCAGTCCTTCCTGTATTTTGGGCATTTCAGTGTGCCCTTAAAATTATTAGAAGCCCTGTTATAGCTGAGAGGCTCAATTCGGCACCACCTTATAACTTTCTGAAGCCTTAACAAAGGATCTTAGAGTCATAGACCATATTCTTCCTTTGATCTTTATTCTGAGGCCATTCTTACTTTGAGAATCTTTTATAAGCTTGAGGGACTAGGATTCCAAACAGTTCTATTTTCTAAATCAGCATGTTTTGGCTCTGGGGACATACCTAATGTATTTGACACCTAGGGTAGATCATTTTTTAACACTTCCCTTTTTATATGACAAAGTTATTTTTATAACAAGCTTCAAATTAGCACATTTTTATTGCTTATCCTTTAATAAACATTGTGTTTTACTTAGACGTTAATTTGGAGAACTTCCATTAAGTTCATAACAGTTCAGAATTGTTTGAGTTTCTCCTGGGTAGTTTGTATTCTGCCTCTTTGGTACTGCATATTCCCTGAATGGTATATTTGAAATAAGCAATGATAGCATCGTGATTGGAAAGATGAAGAGACAGACCTTAATTATTTCAATTCTGTGATTTTGTGAGACTACTTGGAGTTATTTCTATGTGTTTAAAATTCAAAACAGTGAAACAAAGTGGTTGGAGTGAACATTTGAAAACATGCCCAGCTGAATCTCCATCTAAGGGAAGCCTCTCTAGTTTACTTTGGAAATGAACGAGCTGAATCCACATGGGTTGAGGCCTTTCAAATATATTATCAAAACTTAGTAGGAATCCTAGCAATTATTTAGAACTTCGATCAACTCAAGATTATTTTTGGGGAAATGTATTTTATTGCTGACGTTGTTTAGAATAGATGGCATGTGGTAATAAACCAGGTTGACTTTTAGTCGGTATTCCAGATATTATCATATGCAGTGTATCCAGACACTCCATAAGAAATTGCTCAAAATTTAGCAGCATAAAACAGCAACATTTAATTATGTTCATAGACTCTGTGGATTAGAGATTTGGACAGGGCATGATGGAGATAGCTGAGGTATGCCCTTAAGATCCTTAGAAGCCATCCCCCGCAACCGGCTTTTTTTTTTTTGTCTGTCTAAAAGAGTCTATGGTGTACCATATTAAATTCTGAGTTCTTAAAGGGTTTTATATTCAAGCCCTTGTCATCATTTTTTTTTCCTACTGAGACCACATTTTCCTGATAGGTCCCTGGATTTGATGTTTGGCTTGAAACGTTTTCTTACCTTGAGAATCCTATGCTGGCTAGCAAGACTGTCCTGAGCTCAATATTTTCCCTTTAAATTCTAGGTGAAGGCAGATTAATTCATTCTTTTATCTCCCTCCTCTCACAAGCTCCGAGTTCATAAAGGCTTAGAGTCTAACGCCCTCTTGGGGGTGTTCACATCTTCACAAGCACTATTGAAAGAGACATCAACTATGTGGTGGTCGCATCTCTCATAGGCTTTGCACGTCTCCAATAGCTTCATGTGGGTGCTGCCTCACTCCTCTGCCTCCCGCCAGGGCAGCTTGAACGCAGCACCCCTGAACTTGGAAATATCTTACCCTCCACCACTTTTCTCATTCCCATTACTTCATTTGTGGTGCCCTTCCTGCGGCTGATGTCAACGCTGACTCTATGAAGGTTTCTGGCTGTGTACGTCCCTGTGGTCTTCATAGAGTGCCGGTGGACATGGGAAAGCCTGGTTTGAGGCCATCACCTTGGCACAGCGCAGTCCCTGTCTTTGAATGCAGCATCTACCTGTCCTTGAATGCGACAAGGACAGAGGAGCTGCAGTGGAAAGCTACTCTTTGAGGTGCATAAAATAATTTTGAAAGAGTTTATTCTGGGAGTTAACATCATTTCTTTTCTTCCCTGATGTGCTGTGATGTTGCACTCTCTTGATCCACGGTTCTGTTTTTTTCTTTATATTTCTCCTGAAAACTCTTGGAATATTAACTTGAAATAATCCAGAAAGTATCCTCCCCCTCCCTCCCCCCATGGCCGAGGTCACTTTACATAGGGCTTCCCAACACAGTGCCACTGACATTTAGAGCATTTCTACCACTCACAGGAATAGAAAACACTCCTCCCTTTATTTTTTAACTACGACTGAAATCTAGCTGGTGGGAGAATAACCTGTGCTTTGGAAACCAGTGGCCCTTGAATGTGTTGTCACTTCGAGTGGCCCCTGATTCTTAGCCAAGTTTACCTCGGTGGTCAATTTTAATTGATTTCACTTTCTCGGCTTCTAGAACTGCAGTTCCCACGTTAGAAGAGCAGTTGTCACCTGCTTCTCAGCAGGGTGCTGTGGTCGTCACGGAAACAGGCCTGTTCGGTACTGCAAGAGGTGCCACTCGAATCATCACAGTAATGAAGTGGGGGCCGCTGCCGAGACTCATCTCTATCAGACCTCCCCTCCGCCCATCAACACGCGGGAATGTGGTGCTGAGGAGCTGGTCTGCGCCGTGGAGGCCGTGATCAGGTAACACGCAGTTTCTTAGTAGCTACCTCTGACAACAACACCTTGCTTTGAGCTAACCTCCGCACACTGAGATGTGCATGTTTAATGCAACCTCAAATTCCCTTACCCCAGCTGCTCACCTTCCCACAGTGTTGTAATGATGCTATTTTAATTCATGAATTCAATGAATATTTTTACGGATGCCAGTTATGTGCCAGGCACTATGCTGGGCACTTGGGAGGCAGGAGGGAATAAAATATAGTCTCTGCCCTTAAGTTACCTATGAAGGGACTAGAAAAACAAGCACGTCATTGTGGTAAGGTTTGGTGAGCTCACTAATAGCCTTGGGGAGAGGGCGTTAGGGGAACTAAGCGAAGGGGCCAATCAGAGTGAAGCATGTGAATAGGCCTGACTTGACTGACAGCAGCATTAACCAGTTAGGAGGCGGGGAAGGCGACAAGCGCGAATTACCTGCACAGGAAACAGGTGTGGGACAACTCCAGGTAATTCCATACCGGGATAAACCACGACCCTGTGGAGTCAGACAGGGACAGCAGGGACAGGTCCTGCAGGCTACTGGGTTTTTCTTCTTCTATCACATGACCAAAAAAAAAAAAAAAAAGGCAATTGAAATAACTTCTACACTTGCTCACTTTTTTGTCTGATACTCATCGAGGCAAGATGTTTTGTTTGCTTGTTTGTTTTTGTTTTGTTTTGTTTTGAGACAGAGTCTGTCTCTGTCGCCCAGGCTGGAGTGCAGTGGCGTGATCTTGGTTCACTGCAACCTCCGCCTCCTCGGTTCGAGCGATTCTCCTGCCTCAGCCTTCTGAGTAACTGGGATTACAGTTGCTCGCCCCTACGCCCGACTAATTTTTCATATTTTTAGTAGAGACAGGGTTTCACCATGTTGACCAGGCTGGTCTTGAACTCCTGACCTCAGATGATCCACCCGCCTCAGCCTCCCAAAGTGCTGGGATTACAGGTTTGAGCCACTGTGCCCGGCTCCGGATAAGATTTTTTTTTTTTTTTTAAATTAAAGAACCAATATGGCCGGGCTCAGTGGCTCACGCCTGTAATCCCAGCACTTGGGGAGACCGAGGCGGGCGGATCATGAGGTCAGGATTTCCAGACCAGCCTGACCAACATGGTGAAACCCTGTCTCTACTAAAAGTACAAAAATTAGCCGGGCGTGGTGGTGCCCGCCTGTGCTACTTAAGAGGCTGAGGCAGGAGAATCACTTGAATGCGAGGCGGAGGTTGCAGTGAGCTGATATCGTGCCACTGCATTCCAGCCTGGGGACAGAGCAAGACTCCGTCTCAAAAAAAAAAAAAAATTAGAATTTAAGTTTTAAAAGATAGAGGCCAAGTCTTTTCTGTTTCTCTTATCCCAGTGGCTGACACATAGTAGAGATGCAATAAATGTTTGTCAAATCGAACATTATGGGAAGTTTGAAAAGAAATAAAAACACAAAAACACTCAGCCATACTGTTATCATCATCATCAGTGTTGCTTGTGTTCTAATTTGATTCAACTGTGTTTTATTTCTATAACCATAATCACAGTGTATCCACAATTCTTTTTGAAATAACATTACACTATTAGCTTTTCTCCATGTCATTGCATAGTTTCCATATTTATCATTTTTAGTGGATATGTAATATTCATCTAGCTATAACTTACTTTTCTTTATTATTACATATTTAGACTGTTTCCAGTTTTTTACTTTTATAAGTAACTCTTTGAGAAATATTTTTGTACATAGTACTGTACCTATATTTTTTATTTTCTTAGGTAGATTACCAGATGTCAGGTACCTTGGTTCAAGGGATATGAATATTTACATGGCTCTTAATACATTAGCAAGTTGCTTTTCAAAGCATGTGTGTGGATTTATAATGCCAACACCATGTGTAAAACTTACCGATACTAAGTGTTGTTTTTTAAAATTGGTACTTGTTTAGCAAATGGAAAAAAGAATTTTCACTGTTTCACTTTCGTGTCTTTGAATACCAGATGGTGAATATTTTTCCGTTTGGGTACAAGCTCCTCTATCTTTCCTTGTATCATGCATTTGCTGTCTAGATAGTTTCATGATAGATACAGAGGAAGCATTGACTTACAGTGGGATGGCTGGTGAACCAGAAGTCAGATGGGATCAATTCTGCTTGATGCTAATTGATTGGAGGAACTAGTCTCTTTGTGCCTCAGTTTGTTCATCTTTGAAATGGGAATGGAGTATAAAATAGTAAGAAAATAGAATGAGGCATCCTGGAGTAACTCATGATGCACAGTACTCAGTAACTCAGTAACACAGTACTCAATTTAAAGAAGAGCAATCCAGGGTGCCTGAGTACTCAGGAGGTACTTCCTCTGAAAGGTCATGATCTAGAATGTGTTTTTTCACAGTCTAACTTGAAATCACACTTCTCTTTGGCAGCTTGTTGAAAGAAGCTGAGTTCCATGCTGAGCAGCGAGAATATGAGCTGAACCGGCGGCGGCAGCTGGGCCTCTCCTCTTCCCACCATTCCCTGGATAATGCTGACTTTGATAACAAGGACGATGATAAACACGATCAGAGGCTGCTCAGTCAATTCGGAATATGGTTCTTAGTAAGAAAAATAAGTTAACTATTCTCCACTTTCTTATTTCTCATTCCAAAATTGTACTGATGAGGAATTTTTCCTGTTCCTTTAAAAGGAGTAAATAGTGAAAAATTAACCTTAGCAAAGGGACTGAATTCTCTATGGCAGTAGCTCTCAATCCTGAGCTGCATGTTAGATTTACCTAGGAAGGCTTTTAAAAACTAACAATGCCCAGATCGCATTCCAGAATCTTGGGAATTGTTTAAGAAGCTCTTGGCCATTGATTTTGATGAAGAGCCAGGTGTTAAAACCTACAGTATCAGGATCTAGACTGGTACAAGTAGGAAAGTTGCTAGTATATATTGTCAAGTACTGGATTCAATAACATTTATAGATAATTCACATTCCATAACCTACATGAAATTTTTCTTGAAACTTCAGTCTCTGTGGGGCTTTTTGTATATTTATGGTAAGTCTGTGTACACCAGAGAAGTTATAGCCAAAGTAATGCAAGGAATATGGTTGCTATTGACTGATTTAACTTCAACATCTATTCAGTAGAGATCAAACATACAGATCTAACATCCCAAGCAAGCTGAATTTACCAATGCTACAGAGAAGCAGGCTTGTTTTGCCCATTGGAGACATTAATTCAGTCTCCATAGTGATGTATCTCTATTATGCTTGCACATTGTTCCGTGAAAGAGTCTTTACCAAATTGGCATTTAATTGCTGATTTCACATATCTTGCTTCCTAGAAGTTATTATCTAATGACACAATAGCTACTACTGTGAACTCTTTGAAGGCAAAGACCATGCTTTATTTATTTATTTTATTCCTGGACCCTGCCATAGTACTCAATAAAAGATTAGTTCATAGTAAATGAATGAATGATGTTTTAAAAAGTCTATTTATGGGCTGGGCGTGGTGGCTTACGCCTGTAATCCCAGCATTTTGGGAGGCTGAGACAGGCAGATCACGAGGTCAGGAGATTGAGACCATCCTGGCTAACACAGTGAAACCCCGTCTCTACTAACAATAGAAAATATTAGCCGGGTGTGGTGGCGGGTGCCTGTAGTCCCAGCTACGTGGGAGGCTGAGGCAGGAGAATGGTGTGAACCCGGGGAGACGGAGCTTGCAGTGAGCCAAGATCGCGCCACTGCACTCCAGCCTGGGCGACAGAGTGAGACTCTGTCTCAAAATAAAAATAAAAATAAAAATAAAAAGTCTATTTATGATAGTCAATTGGGGGATTCCAAGGTATCTGAATTATTACTAATACAAAATTCTTAGCGAAATATGATCATTTTAGAACTCAAATGTATATACGTTATTTTCCTTGAGGATATGGATGAAATATTTTGTTGACCTAACTTTTGAGAAGCATTTATTTGGCGCAGATTATATAATGGATTTCTTGTAGGAGAAAATGCTTAATTGGAAGGTGAAATCTTGAGGGAAAATGGTTGTTGCAATCCATCTATACCTGTAGGAAGGAACACAGTTTCTGGATAAGCGATCCCTGTTTTTAAGACTGCATATTTCAAACGGATTATCTGGGATATCTTTTTATTTTATTTTATTTTATTTTATTTTATTTTATTTTAATGCACCTGTTATCATTTTGTAAAGACAGATGGAAACTGAACAAGATTGTAATCTACGTACTTCTAGGTGAGCCTCTGCACACCCAGTGAAAACACGCCTACAGAAAGCTTGGCCCGGCTGGTGGCCATGGTGTTTCAGTGGTTTCACTCCACTGCATATATGATGGATGATGAAGTGGGAAGTCTGGTGGAAAAGCTGAAGCCTCAGTTTGTCACCAAGTGGCTGAAGACAGTATGTGATGTTCGCTTCGATGTCATGGTCATGTGCCTTCTTCCTAAACCCATGGAATTTGCCAGGGTAAGTGGAGGCCTACAGCTCACACCTTGATAGACAGGAGGACTTGGGGAGAAGTGCTGCCTTAACCATGCAGGTATTATCAATGTCTGCAGAGGAGGAACATCTCTCCTTATTTTAATTAATATAGCTAAATGAATTTGGTAACTATATCTTCGGTGATGTGCTGCTTCGATGTTGATTTGGGATGAGGAAGAATGGCAAGATGCATTTGTGAGGTATCTTTAAGAATTTAAGGGACTATTCTTTCTCGACATTGCTGATTTTTTTTTGAAGTGGGATCTTGCTATGTTGCCCAGGCTGGCCGCCTTGAACTCCTGGGCTCAAGTGATCCTCCTGCCTCAGCCTCTGGAGTAGCTGGGAAGCTAAATATTTTTATTAAGAAAACAACAACAAAAAAGCCTTTCTATGAGGTTACTAGAGCTCAGTCCCCTTTTGGCTTAGAATCTTGGGAAAGATTACCATTCAACTAGGGGAAATGTCTTTTTTTCTTTTTTTAATAATGTATGTATCTACAGATGAATGATAGAAGTCCCTGCCCTGCCATTTGAAATGCCAAAAAGGTTCAGGGTGAGACAAAATGCACCTATTCCTCTCGCTTAAGAACAGATTTCTCTATGCTGATCCTCTTGCTTCTGCCTCAGTGGATCACATCTGAGAAGATCCCATGTTTCTTTTTTCCTTTTCTTCTTTTTGAGACAGGGTCTCACTTTGTCACCCAGGCTGGACTGCAGTGGCATAGTCATACTCACTGCAGCCTTGAACTCCTGGGCTCAAGAGATCCTCTCACCTCAGAGACTATAGGCATGTATCACTACATCCATCTAATTAAAAAAATGTTTTGGTAGAGATGGGGTTCTCTCTATGTTGCTCAGGCTGGTCTCAGACTCTTGGCCTCCAGCGATCCTTCTGCCTCAGCCTCCCAAAGTGCTGGGATTATACAGGCATAAGCTGCTGTGAGCAACCCATATTTTTTGAATATGATATAATTTGCGTCTAACGCAGAAAGGTGGATGTCCAGAATCAGGTTTTGGCAGTAATACATGAAAGGTTTTTTTCAAGTATTTTCAGTTTTATTTTCATTTGTGATTCTTTATTTCCTTTCAAAGAGATCTTGAGGCAGTTTTCAGTAGAAACCTGTGCTAAAGTAGGACATTTAAGGATAAAACAGAGCACAGACCATCTATAGGGGTAACTTTTATTGGATTTTTAGGACTCAGAGTGATCTGTGCATTTATGGAGATGTACTTCTTTCTTCTTTGGTGCCACCTACTGACTCACTTAGAAAATTGAATTTTTGCCTAATGGAAATTTCCCATTTACTGACATTCTTTGCCTGTGTTGATATGTTTTCTGTTATTATGTCTCTTGGAATAGCGAAGGATTGATGTGACATGCTTCTGGAAAATGAGAAGAAATGATTATGTTGGGAGAAAAACTTTTCTTATTCCAACTTAGGTGCAGATGTTTTGGGGCCTGCAAATTAACTGATAATAGTTTAACTGGAGAGAAGACAAAGTTTATTTATGAGTACATGTGGGAGATCTCAGTAATAAATTACTTCCTGATTAGCCAGAGATACAAGATTTATATCAAACTTAACAAAAGGTTTACTTAAGGGCTTCATTGAGAAGGCATGGAAGTTCCATTGGGTTTTTTAATGCCATGGGAGCTGGGCAAGAACTGGGCTATCTCCACAGCAGCTGAATTCATAGGAAACTCCTTTGGAGGGGGATAACAGAAAGGTATTCTCTGGAGACTCTGCTTGAATCACATAATGGAAGTTCAGATAAGATTTCTTTTTGCATCTTCTTTAGCTTAAATGTTTTCACTTTAAAATAATCTTTATACCAACTCTAGGGTTTCAGTGGATAACATTTCCCTCATCTGAAACTTCCCTTGAAGTTTCAACATACATGAAAGAAGCTAGGTTGATTGCTATAGAGGGAAGATTTGGGTTAGAAATTGTGAGGTAAGAGATCTGCAGAGGGGAACAAGAGCATAGAACGAGGAACCAGAAAAGCACAGATTAATGGTTGGGATAGATTATAAATCTAGGTTTTGAGTATGGAGGGCAGGCAGTTGAGAAGATGTCTAGATGTTGGTCTTGAAGCATGTTTAGATGGTAGAGTGAGAACATCAGTGTCACAGTTACGATTATTTTCCAGAGCACAGCAGAGAAGGAGATGAGTGTTTGGTGGACTTCCAGAGTGGACCAAACTGTTGTAGCAATAAGTCCTTTGATTTTTATATCATATTATCCCACTTCAGCTTTTAGAGCTTTGTAAGAAAATAACCCAGAGTCTTAATAATGATCTAGGAAGTTAGGGTTTAGTTCTCAGTGATGCCATGTCAGGTGGGTAGGAGAAAAGTTGTGTTAATTACTGGCCAAATGGGCAAGACAGTAGGATCTAGTTTACCAAGAGGTGAAAAATATCTCAAAGGTCATGAACAGGACTAGAATCTGATCACTCACAAGGCGGGGTTATAGTTTTTCATCAAAACATAAAATTTCTCTCTACAATCACCTGCACTTTGACCAAAGATAATCAAAGTAAGACTACTTTTGGTTACAAAATTAGTCTCATTTAATTTGGTCTGATCATTTGCACAAGCACGGCAAGATGGTAATTGACCATTTAGGGCTTTTCAAAGTTTGCATTGCCGGAACTCTTATAAGGAATCTCAGATTGGAATTTTAAAGGTTTCTTGATGCTAGAAGTCAAGCCAAGAACTTGTCATCAGATTTCATCTGCAATACTTATAGATTTGGGTGAATTCCTTTCTCCTTGAGGTCTCCCAAATATTCTAAGTTTCCTAGGAAGTGACCTTTTTACTCACCCGTAAGGCTGAGAATTTTGTAATGCAGTTATCGGATCAGTTTTTCCAAGAGGGCTTTGAAAACACTGGCTCCATAAAGTCAATCTTGGTTCCTTAGAACTGTTTAGTCATATCAGGTTCCACACAATTCACAAATATGACATTCTGCAAAGGCTTGGTAATATAACTGTAACTGCCTGATGGGTTCTTCCTGCCTGCTGCACAAACAACATCAATTCACGGAATTGAGTAAAGAAAGCGTTTGACATGAGGCTGGCCGTGCCACACAAGAGACTGAGTTATTGCTCAAATCAGTCTCATCAAAGGCGTGTAGGTTAGGGGTTTTTCAAAGCCAATTTGGAGGAAGGAGTCGGGGTGGCTAGGCAGTGGGTGCTAGCTGCTGCTGATGGTTGGGTTGGAGATGAAATCATAGGGAGTTGAAGCTGTCCTCTTATGCTGAGTTGATTATGGGTGGGGACACAGGAGGGGCTGGCAGCTCCAGGTGGAGCCATGGGTGTCAGACATGCAAAAAACATGAAAAGCTGTGTCAAAAGGCTAATCTTAGGTTCTACCATAGTGATGTTATCTGCAGGAATAACTGGAGAAGCTGCATAAATTGTGACCTCTAGAATAACAGCTGGCAACCATTTATGTCTATACCTTAGCAGAATTCAGGCTCCTTTTCCTCCTCCTAACCTTGTGGTCTCTTTAGAAAGGCATTTGAAGTTTGGGGAAGGGCTACTATCATTTAAACTATAAGCTAAATGTCTCCCAAAGCTAGCTTGGCAGCTTAAATGCTAAAGGCAAGAGGGAGGTTGGCTAGATCCGATCTCCTCCACTGTCATTATTTTCTCACTGTTATCATTTTTGCAAAGGCGGTTTCATAACCAAGTTTCCCAATTATGTCCTGTTAAAAGCAGAACAGATTCTTATTCAACTTATGCAAATAGCTATAATGCTATGAAAATAAGAATATTCAATAAGAGCTTCTGAATTCTGGAGGAATCAACTAGAGAGGAAAAGGATATATTTCATTTTTGTTTACAAAGGTATAAATCTACCAAATTATTGTGAGTAATAGATAGCTTAGGAGAAAAGAGAAAGGGGTTCCTTGTATCTGAAAAACAGAACATTGATTGAAAAACTAGCGATGTTCTAAACAAAAAATGATACAAATTATAATCATTTATCGTTCAGTCCTATGTAATTCAGTCTTGTTCTGCTTGATTGAGTTAGCAGTTAATGAACCCATTAGCTGCTCCACTAGAGTTCTGGCAATCCTTACTCAGTCCAATGGTATGATCTCAATTATTTAAGCAACGTCACCAGAAGCCTGTACTCCAGAGTATCTGTCGTAGTCCTTTCCACCGATCTCAGAGACAATCTGTTTATGTTGAAAATAAGCGTTCTTGCTAGTAGCTGATTGCAAGAGTTTTCAGAAAAACATCAGATAACAATTACTATCTGCAAATAGTCACAGTTAAAGATGGGCTGAAAGTTCACTGTGACACAGTTGACAAGGCAGTTTTGTTGTTTCTGTAGCATGAAACATTAAAATAATAACAAAATGATAACTGATAATGTTTTGTCATTGTTGTCTACCATCAGACAAAGAAGCATAAAGATGTATCGTGCCAACAAGGGCATTGACAAATTTCTAGGAACTTTATATAATTCACGAAATATTTATATTCATAACATTTACCTATACAAATGTAACCTAAGGACAGTTAAACATCTCTTTTTATTTGGCAATGCTTTCCATAGAATTCAACATATCAAATAAACCTAATTAGTTTAGCATATCTTTTTATAGGTAAGAACAAATCCTTTGAGATTTTCAAGGGTCTCTCTGGGAAACTTCAGTCAGTTCAAGACCAGGATTTTATTTAGGATTTGGCTTTGGAAAGGCAAAATACCAAAAGTTATCAGAAATGTCAAAAGATTTGAATACTTGATTAACCAACATTACAGGTCACTGTGAAATAATTCTTAGCTATTTATTTAACGTATATGATACCAAGAGATTTCAAAAGTAAATACGGGGAGTAACACAATTGTAAGAAACAAAAAGAGAAACAAAACTTAGCTCTTTTAACATTTAGAAAACTTGGTTCTCTTAAATAATCTAGGACATGATAAAGACAAAAAGCACAGGAAGGCCAGGAGTGGTGGCTCATGTC